AACATTACTTTGCGGCATCCCTTACAAGTAAGGAAGCCGAGATGCTCCAGTGATCGCTTGTGTCAAAGTTTTGTGTGATTCTATCCCACCGTCGTTAGGTTCTTTAGTTAAACGTTTGATTTCATAATCTGTTCTGTTTCATCGATGTCTGTCACATCAAGAACGGATCGACTAGAGTCTGCGAGAAAATTTTGCATGTTCTGGATGTAGCCCTGTTTCTGCATTATGACGACACCTAATCTCATATCCGGTCTCAGTATTACAACCTTGCCATTGCCTAGGTATTATTTTAAGGACTCGCAATGATCCTTCCTCATGGCAGGTAACTTCTCGGTGTCACTAGCGCGTAGTTGTAAAGCAACCGCTTTTCTCCTCATTGATCTGGGTTCGACTGGGAAGATGTTCGTTCTAAGGTGCAAACTGAGCCTCGACTTCTATCCCACCAGATGGATTTGGTGGAATAGAGAAACTGAACCGTAGGGACAAATTTTAAATTGGGGGCGACCTACGGGAGAATACATATCCCGAGCTATTATAACATGACATGCGCACACAAAACCCTAGGAGAAACCATCAACTAACCCTCCTAAGAAAAAGAGCATTAGCCAGCGCACAAATTCAGTGGATAACTCATTGCACGATACGTATATTCACAGATTATCAGTATAATACTCAGAGTTGTCACCGAAGTGCGAAATTCCTGCTGGCTTTTTGTGTACAGTGCAGCATTCGCTTGATGGTGTTTGCTAGCACCTTCTCCAAAGTATCTACTGTGATCCCGCGACATTCGTGCAAAATGCACTGCTTCATTTCCTCAAGAGAGTTTAACTTCCTTTTGTAAACTCGCGATTTCAATTAACCCCAGTGGAAGAAATCCAATGGGTTCAAATCTAGTGACCGAGCAGGCCACTCTATAGGTCCTCCCCGCCAGATCCAACGGCAAGGGAAGGTCTGCTTGAGAAAATCCCGCACCGTTTGTGCATAAAGTGCAAGTGCGCCATCTTGTTGCAATCAAACCGTACTTAATAACCCAGCGGCTTCCAGTTCTGGAATGGCACAATTTTCCAGTAATCCCTTGTACGATGATGCGAAAAAGCGTAAGGCATTAGTACTGCGAAACAACAACCTACCGTTTACATTACCGAAAAAGCAAAATGGTCGCACGATTATTTGGCCAGTTAACACAGCGCATACCATGAGCTTTGCGCCATGTATACGTGAAGTGCTGCATCGGCATGGATTACACGTTGCCCAAAACTGTTGCTTCTCCGCACCGTGCAAACAGAAAACATCCTCATCGGTAAAAAGAATTGAATGGATGTCCACGGCACATGAAAACCTGCGGCAAAGATGAAGCCGCTTCTCCGAGTCACATGTTTTTAAAACCTGCACTTGACGGGCGCTATACTTCCGGAATTTCCTTTCCTTCAAAATCCTATGGACAGCACATATGGTGGTGTCGTAATGCTGGGCTAGTTTATGGATGCTGATCTCAGCTTCTGGCCACCTCAGGAATAACCACACTAGCAGGATAATCATCCGTGGTGATGCGAGGTTGCCCTGTCTTTTAGGCACTACACACGCTCCCGGTTTTCTCAGATTTTCTCACCAGCCTACGAACATAATGTTCGTTGATGGGCCACTTGGCACGGTGGATAGTGGCAACTACTTTTGCCACCCGAGGGGGTGGTAACATTATCACTCTTACTGAGGGCAGCATATGCGCGTGGAGCCCAAACGATCGGTAAAGAGCACATTAGTTTTCGATGCAAACTCAAATGCGCTTGGGACCTTGAGATGAATGTGCTGAAAGCGAGCACTAAGGAACAAATAAAAGGATCACCGTGAAGAACGTTTCCACTAGTGTGAGACATGGCGCAAATGTGTTGTTGAGCATACAGAGTAACATTAAAATGTTTAACCTACAGCTTATCCGGATATTTTGTCCTTTATATTTGGTATCCAGCATACGACGGTAATAAAAATGCGGCCCGGTGTCACTTACCGCCCTAGGCGCCCCCATACTGCGCCTCCATCATCATCATCTTCATCATACACGTTAGCGAAGTTGAAGAGGAAAGGTGACAGCGGGCATCCTTGTCTCACGCCGCTGGAGATATTAAAGGGCGACGACAAGTTGCCGTAAGCCCTCACTCTGCGCCTGCGCAAACAAAGCAACTAAATGTATTCAAAGCGGATTAATCAACTCCGTCTACATAATGCAAAACTCCGTCATTAAGCACGATCACGTGTTGTAGGTCCAGGAACGTCACCATAGCTCAATCATCGATAGTCGCTCGTCCAAACTCAAACGGAGTGCACTGAAAACCAAACAGCTTACACCGGAGCTGCATCAAGTATTACATGATGGCCTTTGTAATAGGGGATTACAGGACCTTCGAAGGAACTGGGAGAAGAGTTGTCCGGCGATAGTTGACCAGTTCAGCGCCGTCCTAAAGTACAAAGCTTGCGCTAACACGTATGTATGTAAAGCAACTGGGTGACTTCCAGCTTGGTGTACTCAGAATGTCACAAAAGGCACCTGTACACGCGAGTCAGCGGAGGTCAAGAGCAGAACACTGAAGACTTACGAGCAGGGAAACAACTGGGAGCAACTTGCATGTATACTGATCGTCAACCGGCAGTTGGTTTCGAAGAATGAAATCAGTCGAACAATGAGCGAAGCAGGATGAGAGCGATGAAGATCTCTGGCAGTAAGCACGTTGTTTTCCCTGTAGAATGAGTATCGTCGGAACTCACAGTCAGTCTCCAAATGCTCCACTTCAGTTAGAAGCTGCTTTGATGCTTGATGTGAGTATTAGCACTATAGCGCGACACATGGACGGGAGGGTGATAACAAAGAATAAATTGCACGCAGTTTCGGAACCTGCAAACACACAAAAGAAAAAATGGTGAGGAAAATCCTATGTTTACAGAACAGTAGTAGGTGGATTTAAGGTAGGAATTCGTAAAACTAGACTCCCTCAGACAGCCATGTCACGCCCGGAAAAGCATTGTACGGTAGCTTCATCCGCTCTAGAATCGCACCTCAGTGGGCTTAACCTCGGACTGGTAACAGTCGAGTTGCGGGTGTGAACACAACAAGATCCTGCCACCGCCTTGTGTGTACTTGATTTTCCAAATACAGCATGCTTGTGCTTGCCTATGAAGGAATGTGGGCCGGCTCCGTTGATGAAACGTGGCTCCCATCCGCATGCTTCCCGGTCTTATTCCACAGGGTTTACACTGGATATGGGGTGTGTGGATGGAGCTGTGGGTGGTGCAGCACAAGCCAACCATGGTCCCTCTGTAAGCGCGGGCGTCCTGTGGCTGGCCACAGTGACAGGCAAATCCGAAACTGGATGCCGCCAACCATGTAAGGACGTTCAGTGAACAATCATTTATTCTAGTAAGCAGATATGGTGAGCCAACATTTTTAATCCTCATGTTGCGACGAACTTCTTTTGTCTGCACTTACACTTTGAACAATGTTTTCATTAATGGGAATACTTGTAAACTGTGAGGTAATCACAAACTATTTACTTTCTAGATTTGAGATTTCTTGTGTCCAAAATATAAACAAATCGGTTAAAATACGGGTACATCAGATAGATATTGGATATTGCCCGTCAAAAACACCACCCTTAAAGACCGGCTTCAAAATTCTTCGATCTAATCACGTAGAGATTGCAAGCATTGAACCCTGGTCCATTAAGATGCTTGTGTAACCCTATGTCCTCTGGTCATCGAGTCGAAATCGACAACACTTCTCCCGGCGCCGCAATGCCTGATTGCGCAGTTATTTGTAAGCATCCGTTATGTGAAAGTAATGGTAAGTTGACGGTTTGTTTAGCGCCCTTGTCATACAGCATGCATGCAAGAGGCGCTCAAGCGACTCATAATAAGAAACAAACACTTTGGTGTCTCGGAGATAGATCGTGTATGCTTTGATGCCGCACATGACCTGCTTTCATGCAATGTGTTTTCAATGACTACTGCAGTTTCTTCTTAAAGACTTCACGTCAATCATTAAAGTCCGAATGCATGATTTGAAGGAAATTACTCAGTGTCTGCATAATTGACGTTTCGACAAGCAGTTGTTCACGCTGATGGGTTTTGTCATTCTCTTGTTATTTTGCAATTAACACCAACGTAAAAACATCCACCAACAAGCACTCCTTCATGTCTACTTCCGTTATGTTAAGCACAATTTGACCGAATCCAATTCACTTTGATTTCGGCCAAGTGTGAAGTGGAATCGTTATCCGTACCACTGTTCCTCCACGGTTAGCCTGTGTCTTCTGGACCACAGGGATAGGATAATCCGGAACGAACTCAAACTAAGTCTTTTATGCCGAAAACTGAATGCGAGATGCTGCACTCCAAAATGATTGGGTATGCCTGGCTCTTAGAAGTGGGCAGAAAACCTGAAAGTAGGCAATTTTCGTCGGATTACATAGCGTGATAAGCAATCTGAAATTGCTTTATGCTTTGCATGGGAACAGTTCAATCAACAAGGCAGTTTTGCAATCAAATGAATAAAACATCCGCATTGCATCGAAATCTTCTGGAAACAGAAAAGCCTACCTTAATCCATTCTTTGAAACCTGACAAAGTAACTTGCATGGACGCCTAATACACTTCGTGCTTCAGTGCAACTGATGCACAGGCAATCTGCGGGGCCTGTGAATTTTGGTATGAAGTAAAGTCAGAGACCGCCCTGTTCAGCTGAACCGAACAGCGAGCGGTATGCTGTATCCAATTTTTGGGTTATTAACCTAGTATAACCAAACCGTCTTGTTCAGTAGCAACTAATGAAAGTGGCCCCAGAAACATACATGAATTTTGCCGCCGCGGGTAGTCCAAGGGGTGATGCACCTGGTTAATTCACACGCTTGACCTAATTAGCCCTGCGTGTAAAACGAAGGGAACTCACTTAAACTCATCAGCTGTGTTGCATGCCAGTTGTTTTTTAGCATGTCTTTTGTTTCTTGTTTCAGATTATGCAGTATTTTCAAATAAATCATCTCACTCCATGTCACAACGTGCCAGGACAGCCGGAAACATTGCAGGATTTGTGTGATCCCATCTGGTGGGGGGAGTTTACCCTACCTGCTCAATTTGACAAACACCTGTCAGGTAAAAAGCACGCTGGCTCGGAGGATTCCTCCCCAGCTTCCTCAAATTCGAAAGTCGCAAACAAACGAGGCTCATTACAAGAACCCTTGATCGCAGTGGATCTGTCGGCCTTCCAAACATGCATGACTGCGTCTTCTCAAAGGCCAAGCATAGAGTCTTCATCAACAGAGCTTTGTGAAGGCGATAGTAAACCGTTAGTGTCGCCGAAACCTTTGCGTTCAACCAGAATTCAACCGCCTAACCGAACATCTGCCATGCTTCAAAGTAGGCAGGATTCAGAGAAATCTGGGGAAAACGCCGATGGTAGTTCAGTAAACCCTGAATTTCCCCGGGTGAGGCGACACGTGTCTATAGGCCCATCAGTTTATGATCAGATGCCCAGTACCTATCGTTCCCCCACTGTGCTAGTTTCGAAAAAGCCAAAACCTGGAACAAGTTTGAGCAAATAAAATTTCTCCAGTCTGTACAAAATTCAAGCAACACGCACCGTCCCAACATCAGGAAGAGTGGGAATAGCGCATTCGAACGATAACATTTGCACACATACATCATCCACTGCAATAAACTTTGATCGTCATGTAATCGAAAAGACATGCTTCAGTATGTAAAATAACATTTAGTTGCGGCATTCCAAAGATTTGAGAACTTTGTGGCCTTTTTTATTACTCATGCATTACAGAAGATTTAATTTTGACATTATATCTACATTCGAATAGTAAACTAAATCCTAGGCTATTCCCCATGCGCCTTATTTGTCCGTTGAGTGCTTGCTTCACATATTCTAGGAGGCTGCACCATATGAGACCTTGGTGCTAGGTGATATCGACGCACCGAAAGTGCCATTTTCCCTCAGCTGTTAACCGATTTTACTAGTTAGAGAGAACCGGCTGGAATGGTGGTGAGGTCAAAGCATTTGTCTGAAGACTTCGAATTGAAGTATTATGTCTGAATAACTCTACAGTTTCCTCTTTCCATTTTACTGTTGACTGAGCAGAATAAAATTATGCTGAACAAAAATGTAAGGTCTGTGTAAGATGGAATGTTGCTAAAAAATGCCTGGGCGAAAAACTTTATTACAAATACGTATTATAGGCATTTACTATGGTTTTGCAAAACCTATGCAGTGGGTTATGATAGAAAATGTATACAATTGCGATCAATACTTCATGTCTGGTACATGCAACAGCGGAACAGGTGAGTTCTTGTTCGTAATGGAAAGAGGTTTCCAAAAATTGGTTTCGTGCACCGCGGTACTTTTCTCGCCGCTACTCTAACCGTTCATATGGAAAGCAAATGCGATGAAGTTCACGAAGGACCTTGTCAGTTTGCCGTCTCATTCTGAGCTGTCAATCATGTGGTGTGCTACGCAGATGATACTCACAAAAGACGACAGTAACAGGCATACAAATTAAGATAATACGGGAAATAACAACAGCCTCCAGAACTTGAGTGTACTGACAATCACTACAAGGAGTGGCGAGCAGGTGAGGGAGAGCGATGAGGGGCGCAGCAGCATGACTAACTGAAGATCAGCAGGAGCTCGAGATTCGCGATTAGTCAAACAGTGGACCGTTACATGATAAAAGGATCAATACAATCCAGTGTTGTAAGACACCGAACGAGTGAATGTTTCAGGTTCACTACAGGGGACTCCGCTAGAAGGCTGGTTGAATGATTTGGAGAGACAAAGAGATTAGGCGCAAACATCACAGAAAGGAAATGTGTGAATTTTGCTTGGTCCATACTTCGCGGGTATTTATTATTTAGGATTATTCGTATGTGGACCGGAATGCATCATTCGTGGGCTGTTGGTGCAGGTTGGTCGGACTGCAAAGGGAATGGTCAGTTCAGAAAAACATACCGACGGAACATTTCCTCCGCTGCTGACAATAGGGTTAGCTTGGGAGATCTCACTTCATTAGATAACCTCAGTCCACGACTAAAATTATAATCGTTTCACGGGAATTCCTAGCGTTGTTGCTGGGAAAACCAAGCCAAAGACTAGCGAGCCAAGCTAACCATGATCACTACCTGCAGAATAAGAATGGCCGTCGCTTGTAACTTAAATGGTTTGGCCTGAGGATACGGGGAAGTAGACCAAAAGCCGTCGCGAAATTTTTGGTACATTTGGTTCTGGAATATAAAGCTCCCGGAGGTTTGGGGCCTGGTCGGTACAGCCGGCGTGATGCCGTATGTAAACCAAGAAAAATATTCGAGGCAAAATGGAGTTAAAGGAAGAGAGTAGAACTGAAGCCCATGCACTTCTGATACTGCCATGGTTGCCGGAATAACCGGTACTGCTTCATACTAGAACTAGATCTTAGTAAAGATTGTGCATCACAATCCATCTATCTGAACTGTTCTTCAAATCCTACTTTAATTTCTTAACCGATGTACCAATCGTTGCTCACGGATCTAATTGGTCTAGTGATCAAAGCATCAGCGGTAACGATAAGCCCCAGAGTATTATCCTCAGTTCAGCTTGTCTCGGTGGGTTATCAGTGTTGGGATAGGGCAAAGACAAAACGCATACAAAAAGGGGTATAATTTTGGTTTTCAAAATTTTTGGGGATTTGTCGTCTTGTGAAACATTTATGGAAGAAACACGATAGACAGAAACGCTGAAAACAAAGCGGATCAAGACCATTAGCAAACGTCCACAAAATCTAAAATAACCAATCGTTCGTCTGACCTGTCTACCGTGTGCGGCATGTGCCTGGGGTTGAGGCTGAGTAACCTGAAGCTCAAAGGTACCAGAGGACTCTGGAGTGACTGGTGCGGAAGACGTCGACGCAGGTAGGTGTATTGTTCGATTGTGCCAGATAAAATTGAAGCTCAGTCTTCGACGAAGGCCACTTTGGAAAGGTCGATGGACAGGGTTGTTGGGGACGATTCTGGTGTTGGGTGAAATGCGTCGGAGCTCGTTGGCGAAGTGGGAATTGGCCGATGTAGACAGGCCGAAGAGAACGACTTACTGCATCTGTGTGAACGAACACGAAAGGCAGGTGTCAAGTCCACTGTACATTCGCAGATATCTGTTCTCCTCACGAGGAGGGATCAGTCACAGCAAGCGTATGTGTTGAGCAATGGGTGATGCTAAGTTTGACGGTGTCATACACGTTGGCTTAAGTGTTGTGCGATTGATCCGCTGTGTTTGTGTGCACTGCAGGTTAGCTTTAATGATGCTGCAAATACGTAGGAGAATAAGTTTGCCGGTTTTGCTCCTGTCAGAGAGGAATTAAGCTGTCTAGAATAATAGCAATGATAATGACAATAATAATGCCAGCTATATATCAATAAATCCATGTATAGTCCTCTTGGTGACGACTGAAAATGTTCGACTAGACCATCAGTTGCAGGTATGCTTGCTGTCATGTGAATCTGGTGACAGCCTCAGAGGTTGCAGAACCTATCAATGACGAATATTAGAAAGACGTTCGAAAATCGTTTGTGATGTTGGATTTGCATTCGTATTGAGACACTTAATGGTCCAAGATGGCACGAATGACATTTTCGCCCGTGCAGTCTGACACAGGAATGGTTTCTTGTCATCTAGTGTACTGGTCGGCACATTTCAGCATCTATACGAATCTGTGAGAAATGGGCAAGGGCTTTACCAGGCCGAATTGTACATGTGAGAACCGCGATTCCCGGGCAGGGAAGAGCCGAGAGGACTACTGGTGTGTCGATTTGGTTTGGAGCGATAGGGTCTAGTTACAAACATCTTTGGTTACTTTTGATCAAACAGAACGTTCTATGACCAGTTGCAGATAAAAAATAGTAGCATGTAAAGCAACTGAAAGGTGTCTGGGACTATGCATTTGCAAGAGCCGGACACGAATAGTCTAGGACAGTCTGTGGAATTGTCACACAGGGTTGATCCTTCCCTGGTTTGGATAGAAACGATGTGCACATGCAGCTAACTGGACTACAGAGTACATTGAAAATCTTCGTCACAGTTTAATGTCTGTGCCATGGTACTAAGGTCGATAATTGGAAAAGCGTCAAGAGTGAGGTTTATGCGAGAGATAACGTCAGCAACAGGATTGTTGACAAATGCGAAGTGATGTGTCACCCTTGAACCGGTTGGCCAAGTTTTGGTTTTTCTAATGCCGTCAGATTAGTTGAGGGCGAAACTTCGAGACATGTAGACCTTGAAAATGCGACCTTCTGACATGTGTCGGAAATGTTTGCTAGCTAATTATATGGCAAGTAGTTTCGTACCAAAACTGCTATAGCTAACTTCCGCTGGTTGTTTGCGTTTGTAGAAGAAACCGAGAGATTGCCATTGCCCAACAACGCGTTTCTGGGAGATGGCCTCTACTGCCTGATCCCGTGTGCATTTGCGCGCCTTTGTGCTTTTATGTAGCCAACTGTCGCACTCGATCTCTACGCCTAGACATAGATAGAAATGGCGCAAAATGAAGTTCAATCCATAAATAAGCATAGCAAGACGCAGCCGGACCGTAGTTTTAGCTGTGTGAAACCGGTTCCAACTGGTATTTTGTGTTCGGACGCAGCAAAGCTTAGCACACCAATTGTGCTCGTTTAAACACAATGGTAAAAAAAAGCTGCATAACAAACCAAACTCCTTTTGGTTCTGCATTGACTACACGGTCGTTCTACTTGTTTGATGCAAATCTATTTTGATAAAGCAATGCGATAACCTAGCGGTGATAGTCGGGGGATCTAGACTTAGGAAATGCTGCAATTCAGCTTCAACCTCAGTCGGGCTAATAGCCCAAGATTCCACAACTTAACACGGTGGTCGAAGCAGGGGAAAGGGCAAAAACATGAACCTAGATACGCAGACAACTCTAATCAAATATCAGACAAACGACCTAGTTCCGCTTACTATGTTGACTCCAATTTTGGCGCAGTCGTTATTGATTGATAGCAACTCTCTGGAACAAGCCATACCGGCACACCGGAACACATGCGCGAAGAGTAAATGTGTTGCTGCATACGCGTCTGTTGTCGCTTCCCAAGAACCAGCTGCAAATTCAATGGCTACACCTGAAGCACTCAAACAGGGCCCCAGCGGTGCCACTTTTGCGTCCATCACTCCAACTAGAAATTAGATCCCATTCACTCAGAAATCGGTTACAACTAGACGAGTCTACGAGCCGCTTACGATCGTATGTTAAAGTGAATGTAACACAACCTCCATAGAAGAAATGCTGCTGGACGACTAAAAGGCCATTGAGTGGCGCCGTAGATGAAGCATTGAAATTTTTGTTCAGTGTTTCACAATCCCAAGAGCACTCTTAATAAACCTACATGTGATAACGGCTGCTTTAGGTAAATCTTTTCCTCGACAGGTATTTGGTTATAGGAACTGACAAGCTCAATCTTACGGAAAACCTTACCCGTGAGGCATGCAATGGGGCTCTGCATGTGCGGGATGGGATACCATTCAGGGTCTGTGGGTTTGTTGAGTTCGCAGCAGTTACCGCCATATGCTTGAACTCGGTCCTATCTACTTTCAGTTTCTCCGGGGAAAGTCAGCGCGGATGTGATTAGAAAGAAGGCCATTCGTCCGGAAGTGATGCATGAAAAAAAACACCACGGA